CTTTTTGGTGCATTTTTATCACTGAATACTGAGGTATTGACAATTGACTTTATTTGGGAACTTTGGGTGACTTCAGTGTTGGAATCCTTGCATACGATTAAAAACCTCATATTGTGATATGACAAATACTATATGACGTGTGCAAAAAGAATTATCAGTATCGATCCAAAATTACAAACAATATACAATTTCCTACCTGAGTAAATGACTTATATGACCTATAAACCAAACATGTTCTAAAATTTGATGAGCACTCATTCATCCATATCATTTAGTAAATTGCACTGTTCTCTGGGCTAATCTGTGTAAACAATAATCAACCGATCTTTGTAATTCACAGTCGTCATACTTATAATTATAGTAATATCTAAATTTATGAGTTGTTTGCGCATTCTTGTATTAGAATTCGATTAAAATTCACTTTTCCAGTTTTTAAGTAATCAAGCATTGGTGATACGTGTTAGGAGAGAAACATTTACAAACATCTTTTAAAACACTCAAGAGACCCTGCAGAAAGCTTATCGCCAAAAGAATGTCTTTCGATATTGCTACAACTTCTGAAATATGTAAAGTTTGATACACAAATTTCCTAATTTTAATAACATATAGGTGAGCACTTTTGTGAGGAGGATAACATAAACAACCTGAGAAACTTGATTTAGATGGCCGGGCCGAATTTCTGGATTATGCAAATACTTGCCTGGATTTTTACATTTCTTATTCGAAATGCAATACCTATTGTAGTTTGGTTTACCAAGGAAGATGAAATGACCATCAAACATTAACATATTCGGAATCGTGTAATGTTCAATATTTTGGATTTTTACTGTTGAAAATTTAAGACAGAAAAACATTGGGTCAATATCGACAGACATTTTCGTCACTTCATTTGAACACCTAAAGTTGTATGTGTTATGAAATGTTCGAGTATTTTCACAGCTGTAATATCCATTCAAAACGATTAACCAAATTGATCACACTGTTAGGTGCAGAAAGCAAGTATATGTTTTATGAAGCTGATTAGTCTGTAGTGTTTATCTCTGAGAAAGAAAGTTGACTGAGTAGCAAGATCGCATCTGGATGATTATGTCTATAGGTCTGCATGTGTATAAAATCAGTGATATTTGCTGTGCGATAAAATCATTACTGAATAGATTGCCAATGAAGTATATCTAATAGCTGTGCCCGGCGGGTTATTTATATGTTGTCCTTTCTGAAGAAAATGTTATAAATCACGATTTTTTACCTTTTTTGTATTTTCAAAAACTTTGAAGAGGATTACGGGAAATGCCCACCGCGCTCACGTTGTGTGTTATTTGCTGTTAACATGTATATGACTTGTAATTCGACGTGTACAATGAGTAAAATTATTTCTTATCTCTCTCATTTTTTAAATTCAGCAAATTTGCATATGTAATTTCCAGAATATAAAGGGTGAGCCATCTGTTGGTTAATTTTTAAATCGATGGTTAAAATGAAAACGCAGAGTTATATTTTTTAAACGCCACGGCTGAGCATGACGTAGCCGATACTGTCGACACAATATTTCAGTACATTTTCCAAAGTCTGCGGCATTATTTCACCAATGGCTGCATGAATGTTGGTCTTTAAGCGCTCAATCGTCAGCTGGGGGATCCGCATAGCATTTATCTTTTACGCTACTCCACAAAAAATAATCGCAGCTTTGCGGTGGACAAGTCACATCAACAAAACGGCTGATTGCACGACTTTCGAACTGTTCTTGAAGAAGGGCGATTGTTTCGCGGCTTGTGTGGTCGCGCCGTCTTGCTGGAACCACACGTCATACAAGTCTTTTATCGACTTCTGGAAAGAAATAGTCAGTCAGCATGCTCCGATAGCGCCCACCAATGACCGTGACGGCGCGTCCTTCGTCAGCTTCCAAAAAAAGGGCCAATAATGCCTCCACACCACAAACCACACCAAAAAGTCACGCGTTAGCTCTATGTAATTTCATTTGGCTATTCTGAGCACCAAATGTGGCAATTTTGCTTATTGACGTAGCCACCAAGATGAAAATCGGCCTCATCCGAAAAAAATAGGGGTCCTTGTCCAAGTGTCCAATTTTTAGCGCTTCAAAACGCTGTTTAAGCGTATATAGATACATATTCGTTCACCGCAGACTCTTTACTAAATTCCTGTCAAAACAGAACTGATGTAAGTGTTGCCAATCCTGAGATAAACCCTAGTTCAAAAATTAACCAACAGATGGATTACCCTTTATAATAAAAAGTAGATGCGCAACAAATTTCTAGCTTTGAATTTCAAGTAAGTGTATTTGAGACAAGGATACAATGGAACTATCATCAATATTATTATTAGCACACAAATCCTCACTATGCACCTATATAGAACTTGCAGCTTAGGCCTCCAGCAACGCCATCTCTGGAGCAGATTTTACATTATATCAGAGCCAAACCACAGCTAAACATTCATATCTGAACCCTGATGACGTTTAGGCAACTACAAAAGGAGATCACAACGTGTCCATCAGCTAGTGCTTAGTTAACATCTAACAACCTACATAATGTTACAAAAAACCAATACAATGTCAAAGACATCGACATAATGTCACTTTTTAAGATACGTAATACCTATGCCGGACAAGTTAGCAAGCTATGAAATGGATACCTAGCGTAAATGTGGCAGTTAAAAATTTGAAAATGGCTGCTGGGCGCATTTTTTTTAAATGGAATAGGTGGTCGTGTGATATCTTATTTTGAAGATACTTATGAGTATTTTACAATTCCAGAATATAAAATTGCTATCCTCAAAAATGGTGAACTGGTATGCTGTCAAAGTTGATCGTTTTTGTACATTTCATCTCTCATAACGTAACAACCAATCATCAAACCCTGAAGTATTTTATATCATTCTTCTTCTACTGTAAGGATCTATCAAATATGTTGTAAAATATGAAACATTATTTTCAAAAAATCTCAAAATCTGCAAATTTTTTAATCTGAATATCCTATATTTGCACATTCAGAAATACCCCTCTACAAGAATAAGATTGATATAACATAGATACTCTATAACGTTTTGATGACTGGTTGTCGAGATATAAGGTGTTCAATGTACAAAAGCGATCAACTTTAGCAGCCTGCCAGTCCGCCACTTTGAAAGACACTGATTTTATATTCTAACATTGTAAAGTACTCATAAGGGGCTTGAGATACTATGTATCACACGATCTCCTATTCCATTTAAAAATGTTACAAAATGGCTCCCAGCCGCCAATTTGAAATTTTCAACTGCCACTTTTAAGTTAAAATATAGTGTCCATATCCTCGTTTGAAGAAACCAGTAGGGGGACCTTTTTGAAAAGCACTGTATATTTGTGCATGTGTCCATCAACCATCTGTAAATTATATGCTCGTTATGTAGTTAACAACGAAAAATAAAACAATCATCACTAATCACTCAAACTGCATTTGCATTCACCTATCAATTGTCGTATGTACGTTATTGTTGTATACAACATAAAACGTGCTATGACAAGTCTGTTTCAGATTGAATAATGTAATTGTCTTATTATTTTTATATTGTTTATTGCGTTTTGCACTGGCTCAAGTGATTTAGTGTTGGGTCAGGGCGGTATCAAAAAAGTGCAATCGTGCGGGAACAAAAGCAGTATCACTGTTTGTCAGTCCTTTGACCAATTATTTGTCATATTTTTTCCTTCTACTTCCCGTTTACCTCCACTAATTTTGCGGAAAGTGTAAAAGCACGAATCCTTATGACGTTATGAGATATTAATTCGATATCTCCTCGTCCACCGCAATATTTCTTGGTGCAGATATATTGTGGCGCACGTTGCAGTAATATTCCACACTAACAAGGAAAAGTGCGTACATAGTACATCATTGGAAAACACTATTAGTAAATGATAATATTGCCGCACGATTTTCATTTACTTAGGAGATATTTACGCCAATTTTGAAAACGTGCCTACGTGGCAACATACGGTAGATCTCCACCAATTAATTGTCAAAATAGGAGTCTCAGATTTGTATTTTGAATAATTCAATATACGATTGTGATTCCATCAGTTCCACATTCATCCTCTCTGGATAAGATTCAAAGTTTCAAGTTACATTTAAAAGTGGTCGATTCTAGTGGATGGTGCTTTGCGCTGTCTTATTGTGATAGATCATACACTTTATATAGTGTGTAGCTGCTATGATTTCGTTCGGTGTCCAACAGACCCTAAGCCTAGGCCATGCTGAAGAGTAGCCAGCTTGAAACAGCTGTCCATGGTAGGTTGTCTTTGATGGTCAGACGAACGAAAGTAGAGCATGTTTATTTTATTTTGTTCAATGGCAAGTAGACCACGTCTGCTTAACATTAAAAAATTGCTCGGTTTCTGCAAATTTCTAGTTGCTCCTTTTTTGAGCAAAATGGGCTATTTGGCAACTTTGGAAAAATCAAAAGGCTTCATATTGAGCCATTCTCTTATGAACCAAACCAATAAACTCGATAATATATGATGTTCTCTTATAGTTTGTTTTTATTTCTGTCATTTCTATTTGACTGAAGAGTTACGTAGTTCATCACGTTCTAACAAAAAATCAATTCGGTGTTGTAATTCAAATGTACGTTTCAACAACTAATAAACTGTATTCTTAAATACGATGAATGGGAACGTATTCGCTTTTACTGCTAATGACTTCGATGTTTTGTAAACACTGCGTTTTTGAACCAAATAAATTTTTAAAAGTTCGAGTACATGGGCTATAATTTATGTTGCCTGCCTGTCGGTTGGTCTAACATGTGTTGAACAAGAAATGTTGACATTTGCAAATATATGCATTGGCGACGATAAAGGGTTATCAAAACATCCATAAACTCCATGTTTGTAGTTTCTGTGGTTGTCGACCATTTATGACGGTGGTGTTTTTTGGAAGGATACTTTTATTGTTTCGCGGTTGCTGCAGTAAACTTAGCGTAATTTGAAAATCCAATTCATTACTTCTTTGCAGGTCACGGACTTGTACAAACAAATGAAAGAGCAGCATAATCACCAAACACCTACTAGATCGCTAAGTACAGCCGCCAACCTGACGTCCCTTTGCATGGATATCTCCCCTAGCTGTAGCAACTTCTTTGAAGTAAGCATAATAGAATAAGACAAACTGTCCAAAGACAACATTGACAATTTATCGAACGCTGCTTTTAGAGATATGATTTAAGCTTCTGTTTATACAATTTGAGCTGCGCGACGTTTCGATTGCTTTGATGTCTTTCATTTACCTAAAAACATTTGAAGTCAAAGGTTCTTTCTTTTAATCTTTCCTGAAGGTAACTGAAATTGAATCAATCTAAATCGTTTAACTTGAAATATTAGATTTTGTTAATCAAATAAACCAAAATCTTGATAAATTATTGTTAGACACATTGGAGAATGTTGGCTTTCAGGAAAAAATGTACTAGAAAATTATTTATATCCAACAGGCAGCAATCCGTTAAAGTATCAACATTTTTTATCAAATATGGCGGCCCACAGGGAACCGCTTTAGGTCCACTGCTTTTTAATGTATACTTAAATGATATATTTCAAAGTGGCTGTGTGGGCAATTTTTTCCATTTTCTTCCTATTCCAGACATCTACCAAATTACACAAACATCTTCTGTATCATAAATGATCAGAAATTAGAAATTAACAGACCATCAGATATAAAATATCTTGGAATATTCCTGGATCCACACTTGCGTTGGGATGTTCATATTTCATATATTTTAAAAAAGTTAGATATATGTATCATATAAAATTAAATATATCGACAACATTTCAAAAGAAAAATATCTCTATACCTTATACCATACCTTGATCGAGCCATATTTAACCTACGGTATATTGGCATGGGGAGCTGTATGCTCAACTTATATCCATGATTGGGATATTTTTCAAAAAATGATTTTAAAAAAATGTTTAACAAACCAAAATTGTACCCAACTGATGCCTTATACCAAGATACACACATATATGACTTTGAACAGCTTTATCTCTTACATGCTATAACCAACTATCAGAAATTTATCAATAACGATCAAAAATTAAACTCAATCGCCACACAAGACATAATCTAAGAGGAACAGTTGTGCCTAGACCAAATAAATACACAACGATCATACCTTTATTTAGGTCCAAAATTATAAATAAATTTATTTGTCGGTATAAAGGGTCTACGCTTTGGAAATAAGTCCATGAAAAAGTTAAAAGAATGGATTTTTTCTCTGGCAAGACCAGACGTATACAGTTTAATAGTAAATGTGACCAAATAGTTCGTTGACTAATTGTATCTCTATTCATATTTCAATGATACATGGTCCATATACAGGCAATGCCTCCTATGGCTCGTTACTTCATATTTATTTACTCATTCTTTGTATTGTGTTTCAGGAGTAAATAAATAATATTATTATTTTCAGGTGTTATATGTAGGCAAAACAAAAGGTTGGCAAAAGAAAGTTCCCAATTCCTTCATAGATGATGCCTTACAAAAGATCAAAGCACGTGAATCGGAAAAAAATAAGCAAATAGGCCTTACTGGAAGACTGTTAACTGAAGATGATGTGACAAGAAGAGGCTCACAGGTAAATTTAGTGAATTTGAATTAGTCAATTTGATGTTAAAATACCGAATCGATAAAACGAAAGAAACCGTTACGTGGCCATTAGCGTCTCTTGCAGGTGATTTGTGCCACGCAACTTTGTCATTCAAAAAAGGTGACATACTAAATAAACACTGTCGAATGATGTAGTTACGCGACCTAGCCAAATCCGTAAATGGACGCTTACTCTCAAGTACACAAGTTACACCGTGTCAGTTTGTTTCTGGTGATGCCTGATGACGTTTTTTTATTTTGATCTAGGATTCGTCGATAAGTGAGCCAAGTGGTGATGACAGCGACTCACGTCAAGGGAAACAGTCATTACCACCTCATGCTCCACTGCTCAGGTCCCAGTCTTACCATGTCAATTTTGTCCAACCAAAAATTCCAAACGAAGAAGATTGTAGCGAGAGCAGCGATGACATTAACAGACAGTTTGGAAATGAATCACAAGAGGAATCTGTGTCTAGGTAACAATAAATTACGTTAAAAAGGGTAAAATAATCTTCAAGCAGAGAAAGATTCGTAACATTATGTCTCAATTCAATTTTTCTCCTGGACAAGTAGACTAATAAAAAGCTCAAGAGAGGCGCTCTAGTAAAATTGAATATCTCATTCAAAAATACACTAGATGTTTAAAAGAAGTGAGTGGCCTAGAAAATATATAATTACTTTTTTTCATCTATGGGAGTCAAAATTTTCCAGTTTCTACGCGACTGGTGCAGAATGATAGTACTACACTTGTTACTATTTGTACAAAATTTTAAGTCAATATCTTAATCCACTCCGTATATATTTTTTTTTCGATGTTGAAATTACAACTTCAACACCAGAATCCTAGTAAGGGGGCATTTTAGGTCCCAAGCAGATCATATGACCCGACACTGAGTTTAACAGTGCCAAAAATATTCATAGAGAGATCTCAATCGCTCCGATCTGGCTAAAGAAATATTCTTTTAAAATAGTCCCCTAAATAATATCTACAAAAATCAAGCGAGATACTATCTGAAATATCGATTTGCTAGTTATATTACTATTGCAATTTTGCAAATGAAAATCTATATTTCCTCTTGTGTAATAATTGTGGTAATGATTATTCAATTATATGTTATATTATTAAATGTTTTGGGAAAACATGATTTTTTATTTTAAATATAAAAATAAGAACCAAATATGATATGAAATTTTTTATATTCAACCACTGCAATTCTTGTAACATAGACTTTATTTTGGTGTACTTATTTTTATTCAATATTATTCTCATAGCTTTCTTTTGCAGGACTTGTAATTTTGAGAATACAGCTGCATTGGCAGTGAACAAGATAGTTGAACAATATAGTAAATGCGGTAGAATAATTGTATTATAAACTATTTTTGTTTGGAATATGTACCAAATAATGTATTCATAGTGATCCCCAATCTTTGGTTTACTATCAATATACAGGGTGTTAATAAAATATGTAGACAAACTTTAACCATCGAATCCTTGGTCAATTTGAAAACGAAATTTCCATATGAACATGGGTCCGCAATGGCTTTGTTTTCAAGCTAGAGCATATTAGCATTAAAAGAAATGATGATATTGTTCTGAAAAATTATAAAAAAATGGAACGTTTTTTATTTTAATTAAGTATGCCCTGTGGTAAATATCACATGATTTACAGTTGTTTTCAGACCCTCCATGTACGTAGATACGGATAATGTTACCCAGTATTTTTTGAAAAAATAGCATGATACCGATTTGTTTTGATCGCAATACTTTTAATATTAATCATGCCTAACTATACAAAATACTCCGGGTATTTTCAGAAGAGTTCGTCACTCAATGTGAAACAGACTAGACGCCTGTATTGAAGTCGAAGTTTGAACATTTATTGTAAAAAAAACTATTCGATATTTTGTATTATTGTCGTTCTATCCGAATGTTACTGTTCAAAACCATTGACCTTTTAAATACATTTTTTCCAAAAATACAGTATGATACTATTTTCATCCTCGTTCATATTGAGCCTCAGCAACTTGTAAAATATGCAAACTTTATCATAGGTTATACCAACTGTTCGTTATCCAATAAATATTTGGAACATTACTCGTATTTCTTTAGTGATAGAGCTTTAGCTCGAAAAGGATGCCGTTACGGACCCATGTTCATATGAACAGTTAGTATTCAAATTGATCAAGGTTTCGATGGTTGATGTTTGTTTACATACCTAAATATTTAATTGATTCAACATTTTTAATTGTTTCATCATTTATCCTGTGATAGTATTTTCAGGTATTTCCCTATTATCATACATTTTATTTTAGAAGTATTTAATTTTAGTTTATTTACATATAACCAATTTTTTAGTTTTGCCAAGTCAGTATTTAGCGTTTCTAAAGCAGTGTCTATATTTTCATCTGATATGTGCTTATATTAATGTATCAATGTCAATAGTCTCAAACGCACTTTTGAAGTTATGGCCCACAGAAGGTATATGGCAGAGCTGAATATTAATTTGTTGTTATAGTGTTTTAGAAAGTAGGTATATACCAAAACCAACTTGAACACATTTGAGTGAAGTTAGTCTTATTTTCACTTTTCTCACCTGATATCTGTAAATCGGACAACTGCCCAACTTAAGAGATACCCTTGAAAGTACATATAAACGCTACTAAATGCCACAAGTTTTGTCTTTGAGAAAATAAGTGATGTCTGGCAGCCATGAGATCTTAGACTAATAATTCACGCAAAATGTTTCAGGTCTAATGAGGATAAGACAAGGAGCGAATCAGTACCTGACCTAAAATCTCCCGTCGGAATTGATGATTATAATCGTACTATGGTCCTGCAAGTAGACAGGACTGACTTGAGACTGATCAGCCCTGATAGGAAAGTCATCCTGCTTCATAAACACCACAAAGATGTCACCACGTGTGTTCAAGTAAGTTGTGTATTTTGTCTCAATTGCGCACTTATTTTTAAGGCGATTTCGATTTTAGGGTCAAACTAGCTCCAAATATTTCGGATTTATATGTAAAGAAGGAAATACAGAAACTTACGTAGGATATATTTTCAAATGTGAATCGGCTTCCATAGCAAGTGATACCGTAGCAGGTATGTACCGAAGCCTGGATCGCACTAAATTCCAGGAGTCTGGCGCATCTACTATACTAACTATATAACTATTTATATTTTTTTGTATTCAAAACAGTGTTCATCAATATACAGGGTATCCGAAAAGTTGGGGTTTTCCTTTACACGACGTGTAGATCTTGAAAACATAAGCAATTTTTCTTAGTACCATATATACCAATGTCTTAAGGGAACCGAGATAAAAGGCTCTGCAATATCAAAAATATCTGAATACCGTCCTGTAGCCGCGACCCGCGACATCACCCAGTGGTACAAGGTCACTGGCTCAACCCGACGACAGAACTGGGTCGGGGTCAATGTGTCAGGTCAGTATGCAACCTTCAACCGACGGTTACGGTCACGCGTGTAGAGGTAATCGCGTAGACGAGAATCCCTCAACAAGCACTAGAGACGTGGCTAGAGAAGAGTAAGTATCAAAAACTAAAGTGTGGCAAACGCTGCGTGAAGTGGGGCTTTATCCGTTTCACGTCCAACGTGTACAAGCCCTTCAACCTGACGATTTTCCAGCAAGAGTGCGGTTTTGTGAGTGGTTGTTGCATCAACATGACAATAATCCGGACTTTTTGAAGTGCATATTGGTGACAGACGAATCTACGTTCACGCGTAATGGGGTGAATAACTTTCGCAACACTCTTGTTTGGTCAGTAGAAAATCCGCACGCTGTCCGTCGAGCACATTTTCAACAAACATTTTCGGTGAATGTTTGGGCTGGCACGGTGCGTCTGCTCGGTAGCGCATCAGCTGATTTCATTTTCTGTTGGAGCGGTATGATTTCGGGCAAAGACGTACTTAGCCCTTCTCGTCAACTGAAGAGTGAGTACTTTTTCCTTTATTTTTTTTTTACTTGGTCGCCCTCGTTTCACTACACATTACCTTTGTTATTTCAAGGGTAGTTGTTTCTGAAAAGGAAAACCCCAACTTTGCGGACACCCTGTATTTGGTTCTAAAAGATTCACGGTTATTATAATGGGGCAAGTATTATGAGTGACACTGCAATGAGAGTTTTATCCCTCATGTAACTTGTTAAAACAAGCGCAATTGTTTGACAGTTCAGCTTTATTTCCAGCTATCACTCAAGCATTCTTAAGTGCGGAAGCAAGGACCAAACAGGTTGTCACATCATGTGAACACTGTCCTATGGTGTGGTTTCATAAACTTTGTGTGGAAATAGAACAAATGTCAGACAGAAAAACTCAGGCAGCTATATTAAGAAGGTATAATTTTTTACTTTTCTTTTAGTTTGTTTTTAACTTCATCTGGCAAATCAAAAATTTGGTAAAATCATCACCAAATATATTTGTCTGTGCTTTTTAAGTGCCTAGACAAAGTCGATTACTATGCATGCTTTCAAAGTATGAAAAGAGCAAAACATATTTAAAAACAAACATTTTCAGGTTAGAGCAACTGGACGAAGAAGAACAAAATACAATATTAACTAAATTTAGAGGAGCTGAAACAGATTCAGTTAGGGAACAGAATGAATTTCTGATGATGCTCCTTAGAGCCCATTGTGAAATGAAACAGGGCAGGCATGTTCATGACACAGCTGAAAATAGGTATGAAGAGCTTTTTATCTTCGATTATTATCTAACCAATCGTGGATTGTTGTCCTTAATAATAATTATTTCAATAGTTAATGTCGAATAGTTGTCGAAGTTGTAATTCTCAAAAATATGTACAGCTCAGTTGGATGGTTAACCACAGCTGAAATTGTGAGCCTGTTCAGAGATCGAAATATATAACCTTTAATATTGATATTTCAATAAAATTTTATTTCTTCCCTTTCAGGTCTGAATTCTTGAGTCACCATCTAGGAAGCAACACAATATTCACTAAAGCCAAAAGATCCTTAACCAATTCATTTGATCAACTATTAAAAAGAAAACTGTCCAGAGATGATTTTGGACCATCTTTGAGGAATTTGAACTTGCCTATCACCAATAGCTTAAATAGGGTAGGTTTAAACTGCATATTCTCATCTTACGCCATAAACGGCATCGATTGTGCTTAATAAATGAATGTAAGATAAAAAATATTAGACCAAGTTGGTTTCATTGTGTTTGACCTTGGATTTTGAAGCCATATTTGTTTTTTTCTTCAGGAACATTCTCCATCTCCTGGTGCATCAGCAGACCAAAACGAAAGAGATTCGGATAGTCCTAGATCTGGGTCTCCCACAAAAGGGTCACAAAATGACCTCAATCATTTACAAGTGAGAGATAACCAAAAAGAAACTGCATCACCTGAACGAAGTTCGGGGTCTGATAAAGCTCTTAAATCGCCAATGATGGATATGTAAGTCGAATTCCATGTGCCCAAACATGTGTGAATGTTAACAAATCAGTAATAAACGAACTACATATATATATATATATTGATCAACATATTCTGCCAGAATATACCCAACTCATTTAAAACTGTACAAAGATATACACGTGTCGGTCGCATCTTTAGAAACCCTGGTAATAATAACTAATGAGGTTGAGGGCTAATTTTCTTTAAAAAGAATGTTGAGGTTGTTTTTATTACTTTTTAGGAAATTAATGCTATTCTACTTGACAATGTAGCAGGTAATGATGGAAATTTTATGTGAACGTCCAAATACAGCATGGTTGGGTATATTATATCAATGGTTTTTTATAGGGAGATTATGGAAATTCTTTCATGCAATATTTTTGAAGGTTTCATTCACAGATAAGTATTTAATCTCTAGATTTCTGAAAGTTGGTAACAGCCCGAAATCCGCGACCTCTGAAGATAGCTCGCCCAACAGATTGGACGCCGGGTCATGGAGACAAGCCATTTTCAAAAGGGTTGTCACACCAAGCAAAGTTGAAAAACCCAATCAGCCAGCCAGAAAGCGGTCAAAAGAGGAATTGAAGATACTTTGGAAGAAGTCTATCTACCAAACTATTTTGCTCGTAAGAATGGAGAAGGAGAATGCTCGGCTGAAAGGTAAGAAGAAATTATCAAAAACCTACTTTATTCCCTTCACCCCTTACATAAATAAATGACCGCTATATAATCAGCTAAATATAAGAAGCAAATATCCAAAATGAATATATATCTCGTAAACTAAATCATAATATCGAGGAGTTATTTTAGACTGCCATCTTCGTTGGGAACATATTCAATACATTAAAAAGAAACTTAGATTTCTATTATATGAATTCAAAGATTAGAGACAAACTTCAAACGAAATTATCAAAAAAAATTATATCAAACATTAGTTGAATGCCACATAACCTATGGAATTATGATCTTAGGTTCGACGAATAATAACCATCTAAATTCTTTACAAATAATACAAAAACTATTCATAAAAACAATTCATGTAAAACCTTTACTATCCCTCAAATCGAGGTTTATAGGATCAAAACTTTTAGATATAAACAAATTATTTTGATATAATGTTATACTAGAATTCCATAGAAACAAACATTCGACCATTTATAAAAATTATCAATATGATATTAGAAATAAAAATAAACAAATAATTATTGTAACACAAAAAAAAGAAATAATATTGAAATTTTCTATATACTTAGGTCCAAAATTATATCATAAATTACCAAAATATATAAGAAAAAACCGAATATCATTATTAAAAACAGATTTATACGCTATTGAAAATTGATATAAACATGATATAATTTATAAAAGACTAACATGTAAATATATGTTCTTCATTGCTAATCTGCGATCCAAAATTAATGTACAAATTACATTTATATTGTATAGATTTTTTTTAGTCCTATCAGTTTATTGTAACTGAATGAACGAATCGTGAAATTAGAGGCATTCCGGCCACCACAAGGAACCAGCAGTACATAGGCCTCCCTTATGCACCTCTACATTCCTTAGACCTCAAGCCTCACCTTTCTAGCGAAGTTGAGTATGGCCTTGAGACCAAGCTCCTTAACGTCCTGAGGGTCCAAAGTAATGGACCCCAGTATAGCCTGCCTATAGTAGCTCAGAGCTTCACAGCGACACAGAACGTGCGCTGAGGTTTTTTCCTCTACCCCGCAGCGCTCATACAAGGGGTCCTCACCCACCCCGATCACGTGCAGATAGCGCCTTAACGTGTTATGGCTGGACAACAGTCCCACTAGCAACCGCAGCTTGGCTCTATCCAGAGATAAGCAGAAACGTCCATTCTTAGCGCTGGGCCGGGTTTCCGTACTTGACGGAGATGTCTGGAGATACTTACTTATTCATTTCTGAGAGTGTTGTCTTGTAATCCACGTCTCCATTTTCCTCCTAACTCTTTGCGCGAGCACACCTAAAGCTGGCTCAGAACCAACGAGCTTGCTGGCTGATCCTGTCTTCGCCAGAGCGTCCGCCGTTTCACTGCCCCTTATCCCAGCGTGCCACGGTACCCACATTAACGATACCGGATGCCTCGCTGAGAGACAATCCAGAGCCTCCCTGCATTGCAATACAAGGCTCGAAGTAATCTTAGTGCCTTCATTGCAGCGTGGCTATCGGATAAGATAGATATCCTTCTCCTAGGCCCACTCTCCTCCAGAGTGCGAGATGTGCCAGTATAGCAAAGATTTCCGCCTGGAAAATAGTGGTGTATCCACCAAGAGACAAGGATAGCCTAGTTCTAGGCCCAGAGACCCCAGCTTCAGAGCCCTCTTCGGTAACCGAGCTGTCCGTGTACCAGACCTGCCTCCGGCTACCGGCGTCCCACTCGTCCCTCGTTGGATACTCCGCATTGAACTCGCAGTTGAAGCGATATTTAGGGGTAATAAGATCAACCCTGCTTAGAAGCATGGGGTCCTCTCTTTGCAGATCGACTAAGATGGCAGTATGCCCCTTGACAGGATTCAAGAAGGCCCAGCTGCCCTGACTCCACAGTCGATGAGCAACTACTCTCGCTTCTCCGCGGATGACTAGATCCAATGGTGGGAGATCCAGCAAAGCTTCCATTGCACTCAGTCCCGTTGTTCGCATTGCGCATGTGAAGCTAATACAGGCCAAACGGTGAATTTTATCGAGTTTGGCCTTAGTTGTCTCAGTTCGAATGCAAGGCCACCAGACCAGGGAGCCGTACAAGAGAGATCGACGTACTATCATCGTGTAGAGCTAGTGTACCACTTTGGGTTTAAGCCTCCACCTTACCCCGACAACATGTCTCCAAGCCCACATTGAATTGCGAGCGCTTTGTTAACCTTGTATTCAACATGCTCTCTCCATTTCAGTTTGCAGTCCAGGATAATTCCTAGATATTTTACTGATTGAGATAGAACTAAACTAGTCCAAAAGAAGGTCGGCAAGACAAGCCCGTCAAGCCTTCTTCTCGTAGTGAATAGGATCAGCTCGGTCTTTCCAGCATTGATAGAAAGATCGACTTCCCTACACCACGATTCCACAGAGCGCAGAGCGCCCTGCATAATTTCAGAGACTGTTCTACAAAAACGACTCCTAGCTACTATGCTTAAATCATTAGCATCGACTTGCACGTAGACACCCTCACTGCTGAGCCTAACAAGGAGTTTACCACGTTTACCACGAGACACTACAATACGGGTAACAGAACTCCGCTCTCTAGCTAAGCTGACACTGCAGCTTACGTCATTCAGCATAGCTGTCGCTCCCTTACCCTCCAGAGTATTGTATTGAGTATTGTAACTGCTATGCCATATGTATGTTGTGTTAGCATGATCCACACATAAGGATATTTTACTCCTGTGGCATATCAGTTTGAAACTGTTGGAAAAAATTATACTCCAAAGTGTTTAAATTTTTCAAAGTTGATCTTTTGGAGTTGATCATGGAGAGCAGCGTTGGCTTGCTAGTAGTTTATTTTCGTCTTCTTAACAATGTATATCTGCACTGTAATTTTTTTCACGGACGTTTGTTTCATTCCATTGGTCTATCAGTGTACTAATTTTGACATTATATTTTTAGCAAAACAAGAAGAATCTGCAGTAAAACGTATCAAACTAGAATATGACGAGATGAAACCAACCAACAGGGAGGGGCAAACATTCGACGTTTGGGACATGCTGACATCTAAAGAGGGCACTCGTGTTAAGTGTGACCAACAAAAACTCTTGCACGCTATCAGACAGGGTGTGCCTCGAGGAAAAAGAGGAGAAGTATGGATGTTCTTAGCCGAACAGTTCTGCGCTAGAGTAGCGCCTATGGACACCTCCAAGTTCCCGTATTATAATGTGTCGTATGATACTCTTTTGAAGCAGCTGACGTCTCATCATCATGCACACGCTATACTCATTGATTTGGGAAGGACATTTCCTAACCATTCGTACTTCAGTAGTCCCTTAGGGCCCGGTCAGTTGGCTCTCTTCAATCTGTTGAAGGCTTATTCCCTTTTGGACCCTGAGGTAGGATATTGCCAGGGTCTGAGTTTTGTAGCAGGAGTTCTACTTTTACACGTAAGTGTTCTATGTTTCTGTTTGGTTCATAAAAACACAAATATTTGCTCGGAGACCCAGGAGCCATGTTGTGGACTGCTGTAGCCATGTTGTCGAGCCCCCTTTTGGTGAGAGCCTCAGTAACCCCGGGTTGTGCTACGAGTTTAGTATCGGTACATTTAATGTCATTTTATTCCGCTACGAGTACAAGTTTATTGTGTTCACATACACTGAAAACCAAATACCACCGAAGTCGTAATGTGTACGCGATAAGCCTGCGATATCTATTTTAGAAAGAATGCGGCGATGACTTTCATGACCTCGTACTCGGGTTGCTAGGCAACGAGGTGCATCTATCTGTTTCTAACATACATATCGCACGGTTTTCACGTTTCTCTCTCGTTCACATTACGACGACATCCAAATTTGAATCTCACCGTATGTGATTTTTAGATGGAAGAGCATCAAGCATTCTTTTTGTTGCGACACCTGATGTTCAGAAGGGGGATACGACAACAGTATCTTCCAGACATGGCCATTCTGCAGGTGAAACTGTACCAACTGTCCAGATTGCTACATGACCAATTGCCTGATCTGTATAATCACTTTGACTTGTACGAAGTTTCGCCTACATTGTACGCAGCTCCATGGATATTGACTGTCTTTGCGTCGCAGTTTCCGTTAGGATTCGTTACTAGAGTTTTTGGTGAGTAAAAGAATGTTTGGAAAAGAACATTGCATCGAATATGTATTTTAAAGTTTTTTTGTGTGGAATGGAGTAATCTCTGAGGCCTCTCTTATTCTTCTTGTCCGTACTACCATACTACCCAGAATATACATTTGATAAGCAAAATATGTCCTGGAAAATACCCCGTTGACTACTCTTTCCAAAATAGCTAAATTTTCTTTTCAATATAACCTATTGTTATACATTTTTTTACAGATTTGATATTCTTGGAAGGGTCTGATGTTGTCTTCAGGGTTGCTCTAGCGTTATTAACATATCATAAGGAAAAGCTTATGCATTGTGACAGCTTCGAGGAGATTATGAACTATCTCAAAGAACAGTTACCGAACATTGATAAGACTACTTTGGAGAAGATTATGAAACAGGTAATAACAATGATCGTATCCTTTTTGATTCATTGTTTTGTCTATTTTTCTCTCTCAAGAAATTTTACTCATACAGCCGTTTTCTTTCGAAGGTATACATCACGGACATTGCCAAACAGTTGAACGAGTACAAGGTCGAGTACCAAGTCCTACAAGAAGAGATGACTTCAGTACAGCCTCAGATGGAAGCATTGCAGAAACTTGAAGTTCAAAATCGGACGTTGACAGAACAAAATAAATCTCTCTTAAATCAGTTAGAATCATCTTTGACCAATGTACAAAGACTCGAGAAGACAAGAGTGTTACAACAGTCGCAGCTGAACAGACTCGAGATGCAAAATAGAGCCTTAAATGTCACTATTGCTACTCTAGGCAACTTTATGAACAGTTTGGTGGAACAGAAGTTAGATATTGAGATTCCAGATGACGTAAGGAGGATATTGTCGCAAATATCTCTGACAGAACGGAGACAGAGCGAGGTTAAGCTACAACAGAATAATCTGATGAAAATGTTTCAGAGGTCTGATAATAATTCAGATAAGATAATGGTCAAGTCATTGAGTACAGGTAAGACATATTTTATGATTTCACTATTAAGAAACATTCAGCTACTTTGGCACCACTGACACACCTAATGATTTTTCCGGTGATTTTACTTACGCACCTTTCACGCCAAAATAAGGTATTGGCATTCAATTCCTCTTAAACCTACCTATTTTCTCTATAAATACTAATTCGTATTGAATAGTCCATTTTTATAAACTTTTTTTAGGTAAAATAGACTTACCAGAACGCAAGGAATTCAGAGCGAACAGCTTAAATTCACAAACCATCATGGAACCGACTTTGAAAACTCAACAGGACAAGTCTCCAACCTCATCTACAGAGAGGATATCGAAATTCTTTTCCACTTCTCATAACACGATACTTCAACAGAGGCACAATTCTATTTTCAACAACGCAAAAATTGACATTACAGTACACGAGGTTGATAATTTGAAGAACTCCGAAAAATCTAATAGTCTACCATTGCCGGGTAAGTAAAGATGAATCCAAGAGCACTTCAGATCATAGACCAATCTACTACATATAAATAAAAATCGCAAAAAAGTTCCATTTAAACTGTCCTGTGACACAAATTTTTCATGGGGAAAATTTCTATGGGCGTCTATGAGGCAGACACTTTTACTATTTGATGCCATACGCCTGTGGAGAGTAAGTACATTTTTTGTTTTTGTTGCAGGTAAAATTGAACCGAAGTTAGACAGTAATAAAATCTCACCAACGGAGTCGGTGGATAGCGGTCTTAGTACCCCAAGCAGTCCACGTTCGACGGAACCTCATCCGTTGAGTAACTGTGACGTCACCTTCACTTATAACGGCACTAGAGAGCTGAAGAATATAAAAAACATCAAGAATATGACCAGGAATGCTAGTCAAGACATCTCCACTAAGTGATTTTGGCTTCTTGTTCATTTTCATTTGAATGTGTGATATTAATTTTTAGTTTCATTTGTCTACTTGGTGAATATTTGGAACTGGTTGATTTAAAAGTAATTACAAAAGAATGCATGGAAGTATGTTAGACAAGTGTCGAATTATGGGACCTAACACTAACATGAACAATTCTCATTAGATATTAGTTCGACTTTTGTAGTTACATTTTGGAGATTTCATTACATTATTACAGTGGCTAAGATTATACATACGTATTCCCCTAGAATACGACATAATGCTAACAATTCCATACATTTGAAATAAGTAGCTGCTTTCGTTAATATGTAATGTTATAGATAATTTTATAATTAATTTCCCTTATACCGAAGCAGCCGCGCAGGCAGAAGCCTAAATACCAGAGCACCGCGGCCGCTATGAGGAGCTTAAAGAAACTTTGTTAATTCAATTTTTGAGCTGCCTAAGGTTAGTAGAACGTGGACAAGCTTCCTGAAATAGATTGTTCCACAATATCGATATCCTAGTGGCAAAGAAGCTGTGGATCCGATTTATCGTACCGTAAAGTAAATCATTGATATGTAAGAGGTACAATGTGGGAGCCAAGACCGATCCCTGGGGAACACCCACGTGGACATTGTGGGATGAAGAGAAGAACCCGAAGGATACCTTGCGTCAGCCCGACCTGCAAAGCTTCTCTGGGAGGCCATAGGATGGAAGTTTGCATAAAAGGGCAGCTTGTCACAGGTGATCGAACGCTTTCGTGATATCAGGAGCAATACATGTGCCTCAACATAAGACTGGATGAGTTTGCTACAAAGTTGCGTAACGTAAGCTAGGAGGTCCTCCGTGGATCGCTGGTTCCGGAAACTATACCGCCTGTAGCTAATAAAGCCATGACGTTCGAAGTACACGAGAAGCTTCCGATTTATGCACTACTCCATCTCTTTAAATTTAACAGAATGCAGAGCTATAGGCCTGTACTTTGAGAGTCGGTCTTAAGTCCTTCTTTTGGGATGGGTTGGATGTGAGCAAAGTTCCAGTTTTCTGGGAAGGGGTCGGATTCGTAAGATATCTGGAAGAAACGCGAAAGAACTGGAGCAAGCTCCGCTGCATAGCTCTTCAGTACAATGGCATGAATCAAGTCCGGACCAGAGCTTTGTTAATGTCGAGCGACAAGATAACTCTTGTTACAGTCTTATGTCTGAAGGTTACTTCCCGCATAGTGTAGGGAACAAGGGAACCCTTTAAATCGACGCCACTCTCGGGCGTTGGCGGCACAGCCATGGTGCAGTTGGCAGCAAATATATTGCAAAGCCTTTGAGTCGGTTACAATCGTTCCATCCTTACAAGGTAAGCGGTGGTGATAGAAATAGTGAACCTAAAAGACGGATAAAGGAACATCATTATGTTCTCTCTCAGCAGATGGCGCATCACTTGTAGCCACTTTTAATAGTCTCGTAGTAATTTTTATAACAGTAGCAAGTTGACAAATCAGTCTTTTAGGCAACTGCTGTGCTTAACGAAATTCAAATGTTCTAGGAATATGTGGAACCTGGGACTGCTACCCTTATGTATAGTCTAAGATTCGAGTTAGAAGCGACCTTCACCAATCTGTTTAATGAATGAGAAGTGTTTTATATTAAATTTAGTATGATGCAAAATATATCGCCAGTAGGTTGGCTAAAAAATTCCTGGCGAGACTATAATTGATTAAAAATTGAAAAATGACTATTCAACATAACAATAATAAGTTTAACGAATAAATTTAATTCCAACCGAAAGAATGACGCCTTTAGAATATGCAAACATTGAGTTGTATATTTTTTTCCTGGCTTAACTACTGAGTTGGCAGGCATAAACAGGTATGTTGATACTAGTAATTTTCACCAACTTGTATAGTAAATCAAAATAAGCACCTTTTCGAAGCGAACATGACGATAAGGGTTGTCTGCAAAAAAACTGGCTGAAATGATGGTTGGCAGGTATTTAAAAGTGAAATTTTGAGGCGAATGGAAACTTGCGACAAAGACGTCGGAGCTAAGTATCCCATGCGATACACTGATACGGTCAACTGGCAGTAGGCTTGAAAATGATAATATAATAAATAATGAATCAAATATATACCAGGTGTTTTAAATTCCACTTCCACCATTGTGTTGTCGAAAGCGGTAAACTCATTAGCGCAATATTTAATAAAGTCATTTCTTCGTTCTTAATAATCATAGTTATGCCAGAATTTTTTCAGCCAACCCACTCGCGATATATTGTTTAGCATACTAATTTGATATAAAATACTTTTCATCCATTAAACAGATAAGTGAAAGTCATTTCTAACAAGGATCTTCTACTAGTATTTTTTCAAGCCCTTCCAATTATTTGAATACCTCATATACTCACCCTAGCTTTAGTTTCCAAATGAATCACTATATGGTTAATATTTGAGTTACGAAAACTGATATTCTAAAATATGAAGTGGCTAACCGTTGTACTACTCACCCACAAAGCGAGGGAATTACGAACGCTTTCAAATTTTATGCTCCGGAAACTACTTCATTAATGCGCCACTGGTTTTAAAGAATCGAACTGATAAGAATCATTTTCGATTCTTGAAGTCGAGAGGAAGCTTTCATAGCCACTTTCAGACGTAAATGCTATATCAATCAGCTTTTACCACCAAAACTGGGACTCTTCAAATATTCGGAAAATGTGCGTCTTACTATGGCAGTGTGTTTTGCATTTCGTCATAATGGGTAGCGCAAGGAATGAGGGCCTGGAATGGTCGGACTAATCGGAGCTTGTCATTCTCATAGACAAAACAAATATCGTCAATATTTTAGCGTATGGTTGAAGCAGAACGTCTTTCATCAATCAGTGAAAAAAATGGGATAATTTATTGTTTAAACTATACCACATCTATAGTTGTACCACTCATGAATGTATTGAAGTTGTACTTATTATATTATTATTTTTATTAGTCATAGTGTAATTGATGCTAGTTAATATCTTATTTATATTATGTTTTATATACATTATTGTGATTTGTGACATGAAATAAAATTATCTGTTTCTTATTGTATGTGCTTTCTTGTTATCACTGCATAGAAATATCGCGGTGAAGTCCTATTTGAAGTTCCAATGTACACAACTCTTGTACCGACTGATCGGAAAAACTTCTTGGTAGGTAGTCTCGAGCTTATTGCGGCATTGATGCCGATGGACGGCTAAGCCGTTACTGATATCACAATAAAATTTTATTCAATTCAGCTCTGCTCCCATAATCGAATACCTAAGAAATAGGGGCTACTCCACGGAAGGAGCATCATGATAATCAAAACACCTTTTTTGTGTTTGGCGCCGGGGCGGCTGTTTTGCTGCATTTTCGATCGTAACAGTAGAAGACACATTTTCTGTGGCTCAGACTCGCCCCTGAGAATATAGTTTGACGAAAACGTATTCAACTTTATTTTGAGAACACCTCGATGGGAGGTATTAACTAAATAAAGAATATATTAATATTGATAACATACAGGGTTTTCATCTGAAAACTTCCAATCACGGATTTATCGAAAATCACTGATTAAAAGAAAAAACACCGAGACACGTCAAAACATTTGTAAAGGGGGACAACTTTTTAAACAAAAACTACTTCACCTCCTTTCACCCTCGCCCCCCAGGGTCATTACCTAAAAAATTTTAAATGATAAAGGGTATCGAGTAATAGCTTGTTTGAAAGGTCTTTCGAAGTCATCTATTTTGACGTTTGATTTTTCAAAATCACTTGATTCGTTTTCGAGAAAATTAGAAAAATCTTTATCTATCTCAATTTGCTCAGATAGAAAACAAAAACCCACGAAAATATGACTTTTTATATCAATAAGTGTTCAAAATGTTTCCCGTTAGGGTTTGCCAAATCTACAATTGGTTTATAATTTGAGACGGACACTACCAACATAAACAGCAATTCGCAACAACTAAATAACAACCCGATTTTTTCCCGCATTCTTTTCATCAACACAGATATCCTGGGCGAACTGTACTTATTGTTATACCTGTTTAGTTATTTGTTGCTAAGGGAAACCAAGAATTTAATTTGCTATCAGCTACCTTTGTGACAATGGGATAGAGAAATTTAATTTATTGATTCAGATTTTACTTCCAAAATGGCTTACTCACTAACCGAAAGAGTGGAAATGATCGTAATGTATGGTGCCCAAAATCAATGTGCTCGGCAAACTGCCATCACGTTTAACGCCAGACATCCGAAGAAGACAACTTCGCATAGGTACTCGTATGTTTTGGACCTTGTTACTCAAACTGGATCTATTGCAAATAAAAAACGTGATCATCGGAGAGTTTTTGATAAAGCCGCTCAAGTTGAGGCTTTGGGTCATATTGGAATGAATCCTAATACTTCATTACGCAAAATTGTTGCTGCGACTGGTATTTCATTAGGCTCTGTACAAAAAGTTACTAAACTCCATAAATTTCTTTCATTCAAAAGGAAAATATTACAAGAGTTAACCGAAGATGATTTCGATAGGCGAGTTGTATTTTGTGAACAAATGACTGCAGCGATTAATGATAATACCTTTCATGTAAAGAATCTCTACTTCAGTGATGAATGGACACTTTATCTAAATGGATTTGTTAATAAGCATAACTGCAGATATTGAAGCAATGAAAATCCACAAGCTTTTGTAGAAGGGCATACCCAGTACCCCCAAAAAATTAATGTATGGCCAGGCATTTTAGGAAACAAAGTGATTGGGCCATTATTTATTAATGGAAATTTGAATGGAGACATTTGGATATGTTGGAAAATACCATCAATCCGCTTATCACTGAAAACTTTTCTCTATGGGGCCATTTGGAATCTGTTGTGTTTATTACCCAACCTGAAGTGTCTATCTGAACAAATGAAGAGAAATACAGATTTTTCCAATTTGCTTGAAAACGAATCGACCGATTTTAAAAAAATCAAACGTCAGAATAAAGGACTTAGAAAGACCGTTCAAAGAAGTTATTACTCGATACCCATTGTCATTTAAAATTTGTAAGAGGATTACCCTGGGGGCAGAGGGTAAAACGGGGTGAAGTAGTTTTTGGTTAAAAAGTTGTCTCCCTTGGCAAATCTCTCGACGTGTCTCGCCGTTTTCTCTTTTAATCAGTGTTTTTCGGTAAATCCGTAGTGGGAAATTTTCAAATGAACACCCTGTATATTATATTCATTCCTGTGGAGAGAATATGTGAATAGTCCAACCTCAGGGATCCTCGTTAAGGCCACCTTTGTTTGTTATATTTATCTAGGCAGCAGCGGTGGCCGCAGTATTCTCGGTATCCTGATCAGTCGCCGTGCACGGTGCGGGTTCGATTTCCGTCGCAAAAGAAATTTTTCTCTTGACTATGGATGTTGTGATTGTCCGTAGGTGGCAGACGGTCTCTCACTGTCGATCGCAGAGGAACCACCCGGCGGATCTCGTAGGCGGGGCCAGAATGTGTGCATGTTGCATGCACACGTGTTCCCTCACCAGAGTCCGTGTGGCGACCCCCCTTTCCCCTGGATACCCCGTTTTTTTACGCATACTTTCTTACTACAGTCGTCGCACAAAAATAAAACAATACAAGCAATATGGCTGCTAATGATCATGTCTAAGTGTATGTTGCAAATCAGCTATATGAAAAAAGTTTCATTAGTGTTTGGAGTAAATAGTTCTGAATACGGATCTAGCTTTCCCAGAAAAGTAAATACTGATAGAAAGACGTCACCTGTTGATCAGCCGTTCGCGTCAATAGATGTCAAACCGTGACGAAATGTAAAAATAATATTATTCACATTAATATACAACATGGTGAATAAATTTCATTCCACAAAAGGATTGGATTAACAGATATACTGTGGTGAAATCAACTTAGCAAGCTTATTTGACAAACATCTCGAATGGGAGTGGTCGATGTCCGCGGGTGAATAACAGATACAGTCTGATGAAATTAGCTTCGCCGGTTTATTCGGCAAACACCTCGGATGGTAGTGGTCGTTGTCGGAAACGCCTGACTCTTCTCTGTATATTGTTTACTGCTCGATTTATTTCCCTTTTCCAAACTCTGTCACTATGTTCCCTTTGAGGTCGGCACGGGTATTAGGTATCTTGAAAAGTGGTAGTCAAAATAAGAGTGTAAAAGAAAAATATCTAAAATGTTTATAAAAATAAAATTATCAAGGTGACTGCAAAGTAATTTGTTTCTTGGATAGTGCATTATACAGGGTGCGGCACAGAGGATGGACGGTTTTAAAAAAATCATAAAATAGTTAATTTTTACTCGGAAACAAATTTATTGATGGAATCAGGTTCACAAGGAAATAGCATTTGAGACAGTCAAGTGTGGTAAATCACATCAGGCATGTGGTGGCCGAAATCGTTGATGCAGTGCTGGAGGCGTTCTTGGAAGTTCGCGTAGACTCTCTCCAACATCGCTCTCTCAACTTGGGCGACTTCCACGCGAATTTCGCCCTTCAATTCGTCCAGAGTTCGGGGCTTGTTCGCCTATACTCTAGCCTTAAGGTGTCCCCATAAGAAAAAATCGCATATAGATAAATCTGGGGACCGAGGAGGCCAATGAACATCGCCAAACCTGGAAATAAGGCGACCAGGAAAGAGAGGGCGAATAACGTCCATGGAAAAGTTTAAGTACGCAAGAAATAGCGATTAAACAGTGAAGTCTGTCTCCACTCGATTTAACCGTCTCTGTGTCAAATACTCACGAACAGACTGCAGTGGCTGTTTGGAAAATGTTGTTCGCTTTGTACAGGGTGCGGCAGAGAGGATGGACGGTTTTAAAAAATCATAAAATAGTTAATTTTTACTCGAAAACAAATTTATTAATGGAATCAGGTTCACAAGGAAATAGCATTTGAGACAGTCAAGTGTGGAAAATCACATCAGGCATGTGGTGGCCGAAATCGCTGATGCAGTGCTGGAGGCGTTCTTGGAAGTTCGCGTAGACTCTCTCCAACATCGCTCTCTCAACTTGGGCGAATTTCGCCCTTCAATTCGTCCAGAGTTCGGGGCTTGTTGGCGTATACTCTAGCCTTGAGGTGTCCCCATAATAAAAAATCGCATATGGATAAATCTGGGAACCGAGGAGGCCAATGAACATCGCCAAACCTGTAAATAAGGCGACCAGGGAAGAGAGGGCGAATAATGTCCATGGACGCTCGGGCTGTGTGGGCGGTCGCCCCATCCTGCTGGAACCACACACGTCGAATTGGAACACGTCGCCGTCGTAATTCAGGGAGACAGAAGTTGGTGATCATGTCGACGTAGTGCTCTGAGTTCACGGTAACATCACGACCATTACCGTCTTTGAAGAAGTAAGGGCCAATGATGCAATTTTGCGATACAGCGCACCAAACCGTTACTTTTGGGCTGTGCAGCGGTCTTTCGTGTAACTGTTGCGGATTCTCATTAGCCCAATAACGACAATTCTGCTGGTTAACGATGCTGTTTAGGTGAAAGTGGGCTTCGTCACTCATAAACAAAATGAGGTTCTCATTTTGATCGATCAGTACTTCCATCTCACGTACGAAGTTCATTCGTTGTGCATAATAACTGTTGCACAATGGCCAGTTTGTAGAGGTGAAAGCGGAGATCCATACACAAAATTCGCCTTACCGAACGATCACTAAGGCGAAGTCCAGCAGCATGTTTCCGGACAGATCGAGTCGGACTGCGAAGAAAGACCTGTCGAACGCGTTCAACATTTTCAGGAGTTCGAACTGTTCGCGGCGCTCCTCTTGGTCTTCTGTTGATCAGTTCACCACGCCTGCGAAGTGATTCAACCCAACGAAGGATGGTGTTTCGAGAGGGAACAGCTCTATTCCGATGAATGTTGAAGTGGCGACAAAACTCACGCTGTACTGAAACATTATTTCGGACGAAACAATCATAGGCGAAAACGCGGTACTCCACCGTCCAAGGCTAACGACAATTGGTAAAATAATGCTAGGATCTCACGAGTCAAACGGCACCCTCCCCACCTCTCTCGTAGACGGAGGCGGAGAGTACTACCCATC